CTGAAGAAGATAATGTCCAAGACTGTCTGAAGACATTTACTTAGGTCTTCTGGGCTCTCTGTGTCTCAGTAGTGATCATTACAGCACTGTTATTCACCACCAGCCCCCCCTCCATCAACACCATACTAGTCAACTGCATCCCACCCCACCCTCCTTCTGCAATGACCAGCATGTCCCTTATGTTTTACTTGAAGGAACCTTTGATAAACTGACTGCACACATCCTCTTAGTATCTCTGTAATGTGACCTGTATGAATGTGTAGAACCATAAGATGCTGTTCTTCACAGCATGCTAGGAACCCCCAAACCCTGACTGTTCTTTATAGGGAACTCCAGAAAAACACAGCAGCCACTGCCAACACTCATATTGCTTATTGCTTGGCTTATGTGGACCTGGCCCACTATGATATATTTTGGCAACACTACATCAGTCTGTTTAAGGAAGTGCTTTGTCCCCATTTTAAAGAACAACCAAAGGCTTGCTGGTGCCAAGGGACTTCCCGGATCACATAGTCTGATTGAGGCAGTCTCATTTTAGACCAGAACACACCATCATTGAAACCCAAAGATCTTCTTGACTGTCTTGATAGTCTTTTGGATGGAGAAAGGGTCTGCCCACTGAATAATGTATGTTAAAAAAGAACTGGTTTTTATCTTGATGTTTCCTTACATGTGACCAGACAGAGACATCTCTGCTACTGGCTGCCACTCCAACCCAAGTGCCTTTGCCTCAGAACAAGGTTTAAATGATTGAATGCAGATCAAGACCAAGCTGTATCTTCACCAGCATTAGAGTGATTTAAAGAAAAATATAGGATTATATGATGAAGTAACAGCACCTGTTAAATCCAAACGCTGACTCACATCTATCTAGCACTTAGTGTAAACTTGGAACTTTCCAAAGTTAATTACACATATAGTGACTTAGTCTTTATATTAACTTAAACATTAGGTTGCTAAGTCACAAAGTTTATTACTGTGTCTAATCAATGTCACCTTACAAAGGTACCATTTCACCCTATACAGTCATCAGAAATCAAAGGTGGCTTTGTTTTTAGAGAAAAATAATGTGATAACTCTTTGATTCGTTCCTTAAATGTGGAATTCTATCTTAATGCACCCCATCTTTTCCAGGGAAGACCGTTGTATAGCAATTGTTAAAAGGTTAAAGTTATGGATCAACTAAGACCATTTTACTCACCAAACAGCCTCTTGGGAATGAAGTACTGTCAATTCCAGCAGAGGCCTCTTCCTGGCACAAAGTTAGATGTTTATGTCCTTGGCACATCCCGTGGTAGAAACACAAAAAGTTCTGTTCTCATCTCTCTCAGAAACACAGACTTTCCTGTGATGTGATTAGGAGAAATTCTCAGTCTCTTCCCTCCAATACCATTCCCCCAACGCCATGGCCTCATCACGGACATAGGTGTGGGCATGGGTGGAGGTGAACTGTAAGAATGAGCAGGTGTGTGCAGTTCCTCTGCCTTTGTTCTTTATCTCTGCAATCAGTTTCTGCATGGCTAAGACCAGCTTATCAGTGTTTCCCTCCACTCTGTGTGCAGGTGCTATCATGTGAGAAGCTCAAACACAGTGGGATGGTTAACAAGAACTCATGCACTATTTTTTTGCTTTACAGTTTGAAGAAAAATACATTAAAACACAAAAAGACTTGAAAAGGTTAAAAAATGGTAAGAATTAATGTCTGTCTTAGTTAACAAACATACCATTTTGAACATATCTGAGCCATAGAAAACTTGTTCTTCTTTTCATTTGCTTCGTCCAATAGATGGGAGTTTGATGTTCCGGCAAGTGCCCATGGTGGAGATTGACGGAATGAAGCTGGTGCAGACCAGGGCCATTCTCAACTACATCGCCTCCAAATACGACCTCTATGGGAAGGACATGAAGGAGAGAGCCCTGTATGATGAGTTTCCTGTACTTATGAACAGATAACATGAGAAGAAGGATTTAAATCCCCTCTTGAGTGAACATAGCTGTGGGAGGGAGATCACAACCACAGGCTGGGCATTTGCACAGATATCGAGGAGGGAGACGCCTGTGGAGAGGGAATTGTAAACCTGGCTGCCCTTAGAGAACTGTAATGTAAAGCAGGGCAGAGTTCATGGGTATAGAGATCTGTGATTATACAGTAGGATCGAGCTCTTGGGTCAGGGCTTTGAAAACTCTAAGGAACTATGAAGTCAGGATGGTAGAGTCCTGTTTCCATTTGCTGAGTCTTTAGAGGCAAGGCTCTTACCAGTTTCTGCAAAGGTTAGACATGGAAGTTATTAATGATGCAGTAATTCCATGAGAAATATATCCAGGAGAAATGAGCATGCATCTTTGATTATGTTTATTTCAAAGTGTTCATACTATGGTGTTCATAATATTTAAAAAGTGAAAAATGTCCAACAGTTGAATGGATGAGGAAACACAATGATTTGTATCTGCACAGAGGGATGAACAGACTCATGGGATGGCCTTGGTATTCTGTTACATAAGAAAGATCAGATGTAATATGCCTCTATTTGTGTTTTCTTTTGTTTAAAATGTCCAGAAGACTCAAATCCATAGAGACAGAAATTAGATTAGAAGCTGTCTAGAGTTGGTTGGAGGGGTTGGGGCTTGGCTGCCCCGGCGATGGGTCTTATTATTACGCAGTGAAGTTGAAAGGTGTGAGACTGGAGAATGTTGTCTTTAGCAACTTCAGTGAATATACAGAAAAGCACTGAATAAGATGCTTGGGTGGCGATTATGGTTATGAACGTATCTCAATAGACTGAGTATTTTTAAAAAGTAGTTTATCAACTTCATTTCAAATATCATTCAATCTTTCCTGTGCTCCACACCTGTGGTCATAAAAAACAAAAATAGTATTTAGTGAGATGTTATTTTAGGTGGGGACTCAAGAAATGCCATCACGGCTACAATTAGGTGATAGGACAGGAGGGTGCAGTGGATCTGTTTTTAATGGAAAACAATTGGGAGCGCTTCTGACATTAGGTCTGTAGGGAGCCTGAGCCATGCAGTAGGATTAGGGAGGGACAGCAGAGCCTGAACAGCTGGCCGGGGACTCTGAGGGTCTGTGGGGCATAGGAAGTACCACAGCTGAGAGCAAACCCTCTTTGTAGGGTTCGTGGCTGTGAATGCCACATTCTCTCAGTACTGACTCTGGTGGATCGCTGGTGCTCTTTCTGCCTGTATTAGTTACATGGGTAGCAAAACATCACAAATGTCGTCTCCCCTGTATAGCTAAGAAACCAATGTTAACTGGTGAATGAAAGTTGGAGGCCCCACTGAAGGTAGTGTCCCTTGGCCACCGTCCAAGTTGCATCCTCTTAGGTTTTTAATCAATGAATGCAAGACAGGATGGCAATATTTGAGGAAGAATTTTATCTTTCAGGATTGACATGTATACAGAAGGCACGATCGATTTGAATGAAATGATTATTCGCTATCCATTCCTTCCACCTGGGGAGAAAGATGCAAGCCTTGCCCAGATCATACGGAAAGCAGGGAAGTGTCACCTTCCCGCCTTTGAAGAGGTAAGTGGAGGCTGTGTCACCTTCAAGGGCACTGAGTGCAGAGGACATCATAGTCTAGTGAGTATCTTCTAACTTAGGGCTACTATAGTAAAAATGCCATGGACTAAGTGGCTTATGCTTCACAGGTGAAGATACTTTTTCTGATAATTCTGGGGGCTGAGAAGTATAATGCTCTGGTAGATTTCTTTCTTGTAAGACCTTGCTTCTTGGTTCATGGATGCTTGACGTCTAGCTGCATCTTCACATGGCAGGTGGCTCACAGGAGCTCTCAGAGGTACCATTATCATCTCAACAGTGGGAGGCCTGGGCTGCAGCTCAGTTGGTAGAATACTTGCCTAGTATGGACAAAGCCATGGGTCCCATCTCCAGCACCACATAAATCAGATACGGTGGTACATGCCTGTAACACCAGCACACCTGTAGTCCCTGC